ATTATTAGTATTATTATCATTATTATTATCATTATTATCATCATTCCTCCTCCCCAGACACAGCCCCAAAGACATGCGGGGAGGAAAAGTGGAATGTCCCAACTGTGCCTCGCAGATGCCCGACTGGTAAGTGCATGGCCCTTCAGCTTTGACGAAAATAAATTTCATGGTTTTTTTTTGGGGGGGGGGGTTTCCGTAGAAATAATTAGTGAGATGTGCTGACAAAATGAGATACTTCTCGCATTCCACAAATGGAGATACGCACGCTCATATGACCTTATGCAGTTTCGAGCGCCGTAAAACTCTTACTAAAGCTTTTTAAAAAATGTTTTTAAAACGGAGATATTGGCCAAAAATTGACACTTTAGGGTCGATATATATGTAAATTTACTATTGATGCCATATTCTGTATAACATGCCTTTTATTATTTCATAATTATTATTATAAGTTTGTAAAAACTTCACCTATAAATGCGTGATGTATATTTCCTTGGCGCTTGAATCCGAGAAGTAACTCATTTTGTCAGCACGCTTCACATTTGTTGAATAGGCCTATGATATACATACTACATATATTTATACGTAATATTAGGTTCTATGTATACACCTGTCGAGTAATTTTTAATTGTGATGCGCAGCATAAATGCTATTTATTAATATCTAATATTATTAGGTGACGAAATAACAAATCCTATAACATTGAAACGATTGCTCAAGACTTATTTGTTTAATTCCTAGTTGTAAGGGCTGATATGTTTTTGTGGGTGGTTGGCGGGTGCTCTAGCGTGGTTTGCTTCTTCTTTCCTATGAAACATTTATCGTCCTTATCTCCTCTTCTACTTTTTTATGCTTGTTACTCTCTTGTAACACCTCTAATCCTCTGGCGCTCATATGACCTTATGCAGTTGTTAGCGCCGTAAAACCTCTACTAAAACTAAACATGATATGTTTTGTTTTTACTGCTGTCCTAACGTGTATATAATTAATGTATAGATGGGATGGTTCTTCTTCTTCATGTGGTTGAACTGGTTCTCCTCACTCTCCCC